CGCAGCCGCCACAAACCGGTTGAGCTCGCTCGGCCGGGCCCGGCGCCGCCCGCGAGCTCCGCGGCCTCTCGCTCCCCGTGAGGCCGATCCCTTACGAGCTTTAAATTATTCAGTCGGGACGCTGTCGTGTGAGACGCCGGCTCCCGCCGGCTCCAACAAAAGCCATCCTTAATGTTTTATACGGGGGTACAGGAGATAGGCGGTTTGACACAAACGCGGTCCCGGGGGGGAAGGTGGCGGTGGCTGGGGCCCTGTTTTCTTCCCCAGTGACTCGTGGAAGCAGGCAGTAGTCCAAAACTGAGGCTGGCATCTGGACTGCTGTACTGCTGTAATTGGACATCACTGGAGTGATTAGCTGGTGTTTCCAAATGCGGCTTTAGATCTTGAGTGGACAAGTAGGTGTTTATGCTTCCTTTCTCAACACCAAGACCCCACGCTGCTTTTTTTGCACAGAAAAACCACAAAAGCACAGAATAGGTCATGTTAGAAAGGACCAGTGGGTCCAACATTCTGGCTCAGGCAGGACTGTCCAAGAGTATATGTCTCAGGATTGTGTCCAGACAGTTCTTGAATATCTCCAGCGAGGGAGACTCCACAACCTCTTTGGGCAACCTGTTCCAGTGTGTGGTCACCTGCACAGTAAAAAATTCTTCCCTTATGTTCAGGTGGAACTTGCTGTGCATTAATTTCTGCCCATTGCCTCTCCTAATTGCTGGGCACCATTGAAAAGAGCCTGGCTCTGTCCCCTTGGCACTCTGTCAGATACCTGACACTGATAAGGTCCTCACCCAGTCTTCCATTCTTGAGGCTGGAGGTACCTATAGCTCCCTCAGCCTTTCCTCAGAACAGAGATGCTCCAGACTCTTGACCAACTTAGTAACTCCCTGCTGGACATCTCCAGGAACTCCTACTCTTGTACTGATGAGCCCTGTACTGGACAGAGCACTCCAGGTGATGCCTCACCAGGGCCAAACAGAGGGGCAGAATCACATCCTCCAACCTGCTGACAATGCTCTTCCAAATACAGCTGAGGATTCCATCAGCATTCTTGGCTGCAAGGACACACTGCTGGCTCATGGAAAGCTTGTTGTCCACCAGGACTCCCAGCTCCTTCTCCACAGAGCTGCTTTCCGACATGTTTGGCCTCCAGCCTGTGCTTCTGCACAGGATTATTTTTCTCCAGGTGCAGGACCCTGCCTTTGCCTTTGCTGAATTTCAGAAAGTTCCTCTCTGCCCATCTCTCCAGGTGTTGAGGCCCTTCTGAAGGGCTGCAGAGCCCTCTGGGGTATGGGCCACTCCTCCCAGCTTTGTGTTGCCAGTGAAATTGCTGAGCAGGCCTCTGCCCCTTCACCCAAGTCATTGATGGGTAAGTTAAACAAGACTGGGCCCACTATTGAACCTTGGGAGACACCACTGGGGACAGGCCTCCAACCAGTGCCACTGCCACTGATGATGACTCTGGGATTTGCTGTTTAGCCAGTTCTCAATCCACCTGCCTGTCCTCACATTCAGTCCACTCTTCCTGAGTTTGCCTACGAGAGCATTGTTAGAGACAGTGTCAAAAGCCTCACTGAAGTTGTGGTAGACAAGATCTCCCCTCACCCATCCAGGTATTTGTTTAATTGTGGAAGGCAATCAGGTTGGTCAAGCATGATTTGCCTTTGGCAAATCCGTGCTGACTACTCCTGATCACCTTCTTGTGCTCCCTGTGGATAGAGGGGGCCTCCAGAATGAGGTGCTGCACCACCTTTCCAGGGACTGAGGTGAGGCTGGCTGGCTGATAGTCCCTGCATCCTCCTTCTTGCCCTGTTTGAAGACTGGGGTGACATTTGCTTTCTTCAGTCCTCAGGCACCAAGGCTGCCCTCCATGACATTTCAAAGATGATCATAAGGAGCATAGCTATGATGTCCATCAGCTGTCTCAGCACTTTTGGGTGTTTTCTATTAGGACCCATGGACTTGTGTATGTAGAATTTGCTAAGGTATTCTCTAACCCAATCCTCCTTGACCAAGGAAAAGTCTTGCTTCTGACATTCCTTTACCCTGGTCTGGGTCAGAGGATCCTGAGGGCTGGGCATGCCAGTGAAGACCAGAGCAAAGGTGGCGTTCAGTAACTGTCTTCTCTGCTTCTTCTTAGTTTTCCTTTTGTTACTGACGTATTTAAAGACATTCTTTGTTTTTTTGACATCCTTGTTCAGATTTGATTCCAGATGGGCCTTGCCCTTGTCTCATTTCTAATAATTCTGACAAAATGACGTAATACCGTGCAAGAAACAGCAAGCTGGCTTACCCCTGGCCTTCCTTGGGCCTGAACTGTGGGGCAAGTTGAGTGCCCTCGTTTAAGATTTAAGGCAGCATTGGCACAAGTCATCTTGCATGGCAGTCACAAACTGTCAATGTACAAATGAAAAATGTCTTTACTATATTTTTACTGGTTAATACCCAGTTAGGTTTCAGTTTGGTGAACTAATGTTTTCATAAAGCTAAGATGGACACTGTGGTTGTAAGTACACAATCAAAGGAGAGAAAATCCTGGGATGAGGGTTCAAAGTAACATGCCTAGACAAAGGTCTATTTTAATATTTTAATAAAATTAATAACAGAATAACTTTATAACAGCAGACTATTCACATGAGCTGAAGGGATGTTCAGTATTCACATGAGCTAAAATGTACAGTAGAGTAGCTTTTTTTAGTGAGTATCTATGTAGGAGATAGATACTAATGTACATTTCAGATTGAAAAGTATGAATGAAAATTAATTGCCTTTGAATACTTGGTCTTTAGGACGTACAAGAAATAAGCTTTAGGTATTGTTGCAGTACTTTCAGGAAATCAGTAATAAGGAGGTGTTAATGGTGAAATGGCTCAAGACTGCCATAGATGCTTGGGCATATAGATCCTGCAAAAAATGCGAGATTACTGTATGATTTTTGCTGGACCATGTTGGTTTAATTGGCTTCAGTATAGGAAAAGTTAAACTTCGTGCTAAGATGCATAGAAAGGAAAATATTTAGAATGGCTGTATTTCTGGCAGACACCATTAACTAATGTTCATTTAGTATTTAACATAAAAGTCAAGGCACATATGGAAATGAGATTTAATTTACAAGAGAGATTATTCAGCCTGTTAGTCCTGTTAGGCCCTGTACCTGTGATTGCTGCTATTCTTCCCTGTGGAAGGGAAGAATGTTGCTATTCTTCCCTGTTCCCTTACATCAGACACAACCTGTGGCAATATAACAGCATCTCCTTTATCCAACCATAACATAATAGGAGTCATTTCAGCTGCCTGGACTATGAATAGAGCTGGAACTGAGAGGGCTGGGGAAGGCATCATTCAGGCCCTTTTCTTGGTGCAGCAACCTGTGTGAGGCTTTAGGTACCCTCAGGATTGGTCTTGTGTAAATGTGCACTAACAAGGCATGCACAGGACGATTGGAATCAGTAGGAAAAGTGACTGCCCCTCATCTTGTTTTTGGAGGCTTTTTATTCCATTAAAAACGATTTGCTAATTTAGTCCTAATTTTGAGGCAGACTTGTGGTTGAATAATTCCTGTGTCAATATATGCAGTTCAGCAGAAGTGCTGGTTTTAATACGTGAGAATCTGACTTTTAGATATTTGAATAAACAAAATTTGCTTTCTTTTGACTGCTTAGATTTTCAGTCTGTCAGGTTTAACCACCTGTTCAGGGGATAAATGCTACCACTGACTGTTTTGTTCATTCGTTGCCAGAAGTTCCTGTCTTTACCTCAGTGGTGCAAGAACTAGAAAGGAATTGCTTGGTCCTGGAGCTCAGTCCATCTCGTAGTTTCATGTGGCTCCATTCTTAAGGTGTGCAGAGCTACATGATTTAAATAAATCTGTCTAGTCATTTAGTGCAGAAGAGACTTACATTCAAATAAACTGATGCCTAAAGCCTTGGCACTTAAAAATGGCTCCCTGCTTAGTAATTTCTTCCATATCACAATATCTTAACTCTTATCAGAGACTTGGTTCTGGCAGATTGCCAATACACGCATTCTTAGTCCACTATGCTGTTATCTGATAATGACTGTGGAAGTAATAAGCAATGAACCAGGACTATAGCTTGTGGGGTTTTTGGAGGATCTGAAAATGAAACGGTGGCCAAGGTCTGTCAGACTGTACATGGTACAGCAACTCCAGAGAGAGAGGGGACACTCCTGAGCAGTAAAAGCTCTGAATACCAGGATTCTCAATAATATTCAGGGAGGAGTGCCTTCTATAAAAAAAGCAAATGTCCAACTGCTCATGTGATTGAGATGTACGTGAATGCCATACCATACGCTTTTATTGTTATCAAGTCTTACATAAAAAGAAAATAAAAGTACAAAGGACTTTTACTATACTGTGATAATTGCTTATATATACAGATACAGTAAAGCAAGTATTTGAAGATCAAGCCGTCTCCAGCAGAGATTCATTGTCAGAAAATCTGAGCTGTCTTTTTCCCTAACTGCTTAAGGGCATATTGGGGAGAGAAAGTAGTGCACCATAAAGTTACGGATTACTTTTCAATGCCTGCAGTACTAGTGATAAAAATGTATTACTGTATAGGCAAAAGTTCATGTATTCCTTGAAGAGTACATTAAATCTTAAAGGGGATTCAGGGTTTCCAGTAATTAGAACCTTCACCATTATGTATAACACAGCAAAGGATAAAAAATTCGAGATGGAACAGTACAAAAAACTTCCATTGCAAAATGAAAAGATTTAAGATACAGATGAAATCAGAGAAAAGTAGAATGGAGAGATTCACTGAGTTATTGAGTCCCCAGTTAAGGCCTGCTATTCCTGTGTCACTCCTGGTAAGACTTCTAAGTTTTTCTTAAAACATCATCAGTGTGTCCAGGCCACCAGTTCCAGTGTTTGCTGTCAGCTAGGGGATGTCCTCAATCATTGGCAACATGGTTTTGAATCCTTTTCGCTGAAATCTGAAGCTATTACTTCTTAGTTTATTCAATATGAAGAGCAGTGTAAACCTGTCTCTTGTTTCTTCTCATTTTCATCTTATCTTTAGTCTCAGATAAAACATATAAATATATATAAATATATATATATACACATATATATATATATATATATATATATATATGTAATTTTTTCCTATGAACTGCCTCTGGTAGGTTCAGGTATTTTCTGAAGCATGATCCTACCTGAACACCAGTAGTCTTATGAAGGCTGTATAGAGAGGTGTTGATGATACTCCTAACTCAAGCAGGAATGTTCAAAAACAGTGTTCAAGTTACTTAGCATACCTGAAGTGTGCTCAAAATGGATGGAGGCAAGGTCCAAAATAGTTTGTGAAAGATAACTAGGGTGAGAACACAGTGAATGGTGCAATTTTGTAAGGACTGAAAAGCAGTTTTGGCCTGTTGAGTCTTGTTCCTTGCCTGGATTAAGAATTTAGTAATTTATTTGTTTTTAAAAGTTTGAAATTACTTTATAGATAGCCATATCAGCTAATATTTTTCTTCCAAGCTGTTTACTGGACTTATCTGACTGTCAATTCCTGTTTTTTGTTTAAGGTAGCCTGTATTACTGTATTAGTTGAACTCCCCTTTGGACGGGGCAGTGCTGGGGCGGATGAAGTAAGCTGTGCTGGAAGCTAGTTGGAGCGCTTACCACAAATGGTGAAGTGTGCTGGGGCTGTACCTTGTGGCTCCATGCTGAAACTGTTGGGTGTGCTGTAACACCCAGCAGGACAAAAGGGAGAGACTGCCACACAAAACTTCTGGGGTTTTAGTAAGGTGGTATCAGCACACCTCCCAGTGAGCATGTACTCATCAGCACATTTACTGCCATTTTTTGAGCCAATGACCTTCAAAATGACCCGTGTAAAGTCACAGAAGACACTCTGCATACTGTGAGCCTCACCACTGTGTCTTACTGTGCCATGGTGATCAAAAGAACAGTATGGGACGGAGGGTTAATGGCAAAACACAGTAGAAGCGTTGAAATAAAGGAACCTTCATCTTGCTCCGATTTGTTCACGGCAACTTTCTTACATTCTGGGAAGAGCAGCTTTGTGACATGTAACGGTTCCATTTGGGTAGCTGTAAGAAAGCGCTCAGCCAGTTGGCATTTTGCTGAAAAACACACTTCAGTGTCTCCTCTTAGCTCATGATAAAAAAAAGAGCCATTATGGCATATTTTCATGCAGTATATTGGCCTGGATGCCTCATGAATGGCAATGTTAACATATTAGAATACTGCGATACCTAGATTTTATAATTTAAAATGTATGAAACCTCCTGGCAGCAAAATCCACTTTCTCCATTTATAATTTAAAAAATATATTTCCATTTTTAATACAAGAAATAGATGTTCTAATTTAATATATTGTCCAGCTATGCTAAAAAAGATAAAATAAATGTAAGTATTGCTTGTTCTGCTCTGGTGGGTCACATTAGCTTGGTTTGTCATCCTCTGATTATAAATATGCAAGGAAATCCTGGACAATATCCAAGTGTGACATCTCTGTATACAGATGACTTGGACAAAAATTTCAATCCAACGACAGCTGTATGTTTAGGATATCAAACAGATGATATATATCTAATGAATAATATATATAATTAATCTATGTATCATAAAAGAATATGTGTGGGTCCTTTTTGGAACCATATATGCCTGCATGCATGCAAGCATTCATGATATGTGTAAATATCGTGATAATTTTGTTGAAAAAGACCTTTAGTCATCTGGCAGTCTCTGAAGTGCAGCAGTATGGTACATTAAGTCTGTAAGAAAATGAAAACCTTCTTGTTTGAGGATAAATTGAATCTTCTGCATGAAAATATAGTGCCCAGGCTTATAGTGCCCAGAAGCATAGGAAAAGTTTGTTCTTAACTTTAGAAGAGTAAGGTTAAAGTGAGGAACACAAGATAACGTGAAAGAATTAATAATACTATCAATTTTCGCACAGCCTTTACATCAGATCGAGTTGTGAATAATAAGCTGTTTGGCTGTGGTTATACAATTACTGTTCTGTCTCATTTAGAACTAGGAGTTATATTACTCTGGGGGAAAAAGAAACCAAAACAAGTGTAAATATGTCTTTGTAGTCAGGCCACAAAAGGTGAATGCCAAATCCCAAATGCAAGCCATTGAGCAGTAGGGTGGTTGCCAGTGTTTCAGGTGCTCAAAACTGAGCTATAAAAACAACAGACCTTTTAGTAGGTGGTATGTGCCTATCTTTTTAACATGACTTCTTGAATTAGTCTGAGCTAAGCCTCAGTCTTACAGCAGTACATTGGAAGATTTTGAGGGATATAATTTCAATGCAGAATTTCCTTTAAAAATGCTTTCTGTCAAAAAATCTGTGTGTAGGGTTCCTTTTTGTGTCCAAACAAAAACCCATCTGTATCAAAACCATCTTTAAAGTTTATGTTACTGGTTACAGAGTTTTCTGATATTTTGTTGTAAGCAAAAGAGAGGTAAATATTAATGCCAGATTGCAGATGCAAAATGTGAGTAATCTATTTACTTTATTTGCATATTGTAGTGCACCAAATGAGCTGCTGGATCATAGCTAGAGTCAAGAACCCTTTTGACTTCCATTTTCATTAGATATTTAAAAAACAAACCTCTCCATGTTGTACATTATTTTATAATTTTTAAAAATTTGCTTGTAATTTTTACCTAATAACAATATGCCTGACAAATGCTGAACCTTCTTTTTTTTAAAAAGCATTTAATATATAACCTGCAATGTGATTATTGTTAGGATTGGTGTAAACATACATAGCATTATGACATTCACAGAACTGGTGATCTGAATTGCTGAAAAAACTAATTTTCTTGTGTTTAATATGTTTGGGTTTTTTTTCCTGGAGTCACTCTGAGGATTACTCAAAACCAAAATCCTTGAGATTTTTCTAAATTTTAGGAGAACTGGATACAGGGTATTGACTCATATTATAGGGATGGGCTCCAAATGGGAGTTTGAGATCCCTATTTTTTTAGCCCATATTTTGCTCTGGCCTCTTGGAACATGTTTTATTCTGATGTCAGAACAACTTCATACATTCATGCTGATAAAATGCTGCAAAGACATGTGGCCAGTACTTTTGTCAATACAAATTTCCGATCGATAATGCAAGGCTGACACCTCAGCTTTAGCTCCAGAGCCTTAATTTGCTTCTGAAATCAGTTTTGCTCTATGTCAGGAATAACATGCTGCCATGGTGATAAACTGTGAGCTCCCCTTTATGAAATGTTAATAACACCCTGGTTTCTGCCAAATTCGTGCTCATCCACATGGTGCCAATTACAGTGAGGTGAAAACAGATGTATATAAAAACTTAGGCGTATAGTCAGTTTTTGTCCTGAGGCATGAATAATTTGAATGAGCAAGAACGATCATTAATACAGTAGATTTTATCTGTGGTTGCATGTATAGAAAATATGCTCTAAATAAATAGGATTGTATGAAAATAGTACCTAAAAATGCAGAGCCTCCATTTACTTTTCCCAAAAGCATTTTCCATGATTTTTCATGTGGCTCATTCTCAATAAGTGTGTCATGACTGTAACTAACACATGAAGAGCAAGTTTGGTGAGAGCTCAGTCCATCTAGCTCACTGAGTGCTGTCATGCATCTTTCTTTTTAGATTGTCTAGTATTTTCAGCCTGCTACTCCATCTTTGCTATTGATATAGGTATGGTTTCACTGCAGGGTTTTATGATCTTATTATCCTTACTGAACCAGCAACTGAGTAAACTGGTTTTCTACAAGGCCTGCCCCTACCATTCGATACTTGGCAGGCAGGTTGATTATTGAGAAATCTGGGTTAAAGGACTCTTTAACTCTTTGTAAGGCCTGATCACATTGCCCCCAGAGCATATATGGCAGCTTTTTGTGAACTGGTTATTTAGTGGCAAATAAAAAAGTAGGTACATCTGTCTGCCCAGTGTTTTGGACGCAGAAAGGAGAACAAAATTTATATTGTCCAAATTAGGAAGTGGTTAAAAATCAACAACTTGTATTGCCACCCTCTGAATACCTCTGTATGTACTTATGTCCCACTCCTAACTGGAAAATGTGATCAAGAGGCATAAAAAAGTCATGTGAATTTTTTTTTTTAAAAAAAAAAGCTCTAGGTGATTAGTTCTAGATAAGAGTCTTTGAAATCTCTAATTAAAACTTAAAATTTCTGATTCTCTGTTATCTCTCTGTTCAAACTGTTGGACATTATCTCTCTGACATTCAAGCTGGAAGAAAGGATGATATGCAGCAATAATATAAAAAGCCTTAATAATATTTCAAAAGACCAAAAATTAGGCCAACAGACTCTTTATAATAGTGACCCAATTAGTGATAAGATTTGTCACCCCATATAAAGAACTTGTGCACAGCCACAAAGAAATGTAATTCAGCCACACAAAGACTATGCAGAGGTCCCAAATCACTCTTCAGGGTTGTTTGGCACCATGCAACAATTAAGGACCAGCCCTTGGCAACAAATTTTCAAGCGGATTAAGAACTAGTAGATGTCTAATGATATTTTGGACATGATGGGTTGACATGGGTGTTTACTTGTCCTGCTCCTTCAGGAGATGGGGAAGGATAAGCAGTAAGTGCCAGTAGCCCTCTGACATTGCCTTCCCTCATTTTTCTGTGCTGTCTATAATGTGCATGATTTATCCAGAGCTCTGCATTGCAATGAATTCCACCGTAGAGGGAATTCAACAAGTCTACCCTTGCAAAGTAAGAACACAGTTTTCTTTTTTTTTTTTTTTTTTTGGCAATGTGCTATCAGGAAACCCTTTATTCATTTAGCAAGTTTTCTAGTTCCATGAATGTTTCCTGTAAATAAGGTGGCACTTACTTTGAAAATATCTTTAATAAACATTATGAAGTTCCTTTAGGCCAAAACACACATGAAAATATTTTGTTAAACTCCCAGATCTAACAAAGTTTACATTTGCTTTATACAGATATCAAATATTATAGGTATTTACGTGATCCCATAGAGATCACTTTAAAACTTGAGTTTTATTAGTATATAGTGTTATAGACATTCAAAACCCTATTTCAGTGTCAATAGATAAGGAAGGAGAAAACAATACATTTCTGTCCTCCATGACAAATTTTTCCTTTACAGTAGTGCTCCCCTTCCCAGTGCAATCAGTAACACACATGAAGTAGTCATCTCTATGTGTTTCCTTCTCATATTAAGCTTCCTTAGCTGCATATTTTTGTTAGTGCACTTGTCCCAGTGCCTTCCTATGTTGCTGCCCTCTTGCCCCATCAATGAGCACATGCAAAACACTCAAACATATTAGGATTTACCTTATAAACACTGATCCGACACTCTCTGTAGGACTGGCTGGTGTGTCATTACTCGATTTTCGGAAGCTGTTGTGACTTTCAGAAAAAAAAACGGAGTCGTCCAAGGAGCTTCCTTTTTTCAGCATTTTAATGGAGCTAACTGCAGACTTAGGTAAGTTCAATTCTAGAGTGAGCCTTGGAACTCACAGCCTTCCAGTGTTATAGGAAGTGCTGTCTTGGTGTGACTCCAGTTCAAACTAGGTTTATGAAGTCAGTTAATGAGTAACGTAGTGTTGTGACATCATAAGGGAGTTTTCTTTATTATCTGCAGCACTTCTGAAGTTTACTTGAATACAAAAAATCATCAAATCTAGGTGAACTGTGTCTTTGAAATTTCATAATAAACAACAATAACCTATTTGGATGAATTGAGAAGTGTAAAACAAGAACTCTGTTTCAAATGATGTTTTGTTTTCAGGTTTGTCCCTAAAACATCGTCTGTCATATATTCCACTTTGTGAATTATCTACCGATCTCTAAGTATACAAGTTTGAATAACATATTTGTATATGTTTAAGAAGTGACTTCACCCACCTGTTGTGAATATGCCAAAATCATTGTTTATCTGGTGACAGATTGGTCCACGTGTGTGCATGTAGCTGCTGTAAAATCAATTCATTGCAGTTAAATTTAAGTACAAGTAGTCTTTTAATTCCCAATACACAGGAACCCAACTGGACAAAACCAGTTTTCCTAACCAGTTTTTCCAAAGGAATTGGCAAACATTAACTGCAAATTTACATGATTTTCTGTTTGTTGAAGATTACTATAATGATTAGGTTAGGGAATGAAATTATCAGAAATGTTTCTTTATATTGCAAATCCTCTTAATAGTACTGATTTAGTACCCAAGGCATTTAGAAATTCTGTTAAACTTCATCTTGGACTCGCATAGTAATGAAGATTAGTCTATGAGACTGACCAAAGATGTTTAAAGTAATACACTCTTTCTGTTCTTAACATCTATAAACAACTTGTGGAACAGTACAAATCCATTTGCACTGTTCACAGGTTCTATTTGTAAATGCAAAGACATCTAACCAAACTGATGTCTTTTTCTATTTTTTTAATTTCTTTTGTTTCTGGTTTTGCATAACTAAATGCCTAGAGGTTTGTTCTTTTTTTTTTTAATATAAAATTTGTTCATGATCAGTATTAAGCAAATAGTAATGAAATCTATAAATGTGGGAAACAGCAACTATTGAAATACAGGATTAGCATAATAGCTAAGAAAAGTAAAGATGAAAGAGCTACTTCCTTGGAAGCAAAAATTCCAAATAAATGTGAGAAGACTTTTAAGAAAAAAGGCAGAAAAGGAATAAAATGTATACTTTTCATCATTTTTAAGTATTCCCCATGAACCCATACTTAAGGAGCTGTATTTAGGTAACTGGGATTCTGAATTCATGCCTCCTTGAGTCACTGTGCTGTACATGTTTGGTTTCCTGCTTTCTAGGCCTTTTTGTTACTCTGCACTTGATCCTGCGTGATCACAGGCTACAAACACAGGGCTGCCTACCTAGGCAAAGACCCTGTGCTTTATTACTCTTCCATAAAACAAGTGATATAACCTTCAACAAATACAAAAGCTTTTTCCTTTTCTAGTCACAAGAAGAATTTGCCTTGACTGTTGTGTTTTTCGTATCTATTCACTTAGGATGGGAAGTCTTTATTCTTTTCAAAGAAGGAAACATTCTTAAAACTGTTTAGAAAACTTAAGTGACATAGTGAGCTTGTAAATCATTAATATGACGTATTTATCTTTGAAAGCAATCTATTTGTACAGTAAAATGTAATGAAACCCCTTCATTAAAAGTCAGAATGGCAACTGTGTTTTTTCTCTGTGTTTAAGAGCAAGTACAGTGAGAGAGTAGTTGAATTTTTCCCTAAATGAGTAATTGCAGGAACATTGTTAGCAAGGAAAAACTATGACATGATTCCTTCCTTCAATTTTATGCATCTTTGCTGTTTGGTACAGGTTTTCCAGTTTTGTACAGGGTACCGTGCTTGCTTCTAAATGCCTGTTTTCCATCCTATACCACAATTGTAAGTGGTAAGTGTATGCCTTCCTGCCTGCAATTGTATGGCTATTGCATATGCCTGTACTGAAGGGCTTCTAGGTTTGCCTTGCAAGTGCAATGCTAACCAGGTCGAGTGCTAGGCTGGGGAGTTAAATGCTCCTGCCTACAACAGCTGATGTTACTCAGCTAGTTTAGGTCAGCTCAGGCCTGCTTACATGGAATCACAGAATCATTTAAATCAAGTCCATCCATAAACCTAACACTGCCAATTCCACCTCAGGAGCTTTATTGCAGTGACAATTGGTCTTACGTATGGCCATGTGGAGAAAAAAAATGTTTGTATGACAGTGCCCTGAGACTCTCACTGCTCTTTGCTTATTAAGAGGTCTTACCTAGCTTGAATGTTGCAGCAGTAACTCCCTGGATTGATGAAGAGAAGCAGGCCTACAAGATGCATTTCTAGAGGGAACAGAAAAGGTACAGTGGTCACCATATGTGCAACAGATTATTTTCTCTCCTTATTATCAGGCCCACACAAACTGAGTTTACTATTCATTTCTAGGGCCTCTGCACAACTGTGATCTTGAGCTGTTTTGGAGATCATTTTAGGGCTCAGTTAGGAGGCCAGAAGGGTTGACCTGATAATGCTGTATAAATTATAAGACTTCATGCAATTTTTATTCCAAGTGGATCTAAACTGTATTATCATCTTTGGGATTGCCTGTTTTTGATGCAAGGGTATGAAAGCTATGTAGTTTATAACCACTAGGCAAATTGAAAAGCAGTTGATCACTCCATGTCTTTCTGATTCCTGGTATACATAGATATTGTCAAGGGAGGTTTAGATACCTACAGAAGTGTCACCAATAGAGATGTGGGGCAGATACAGAACTTACTTTTTCTAGCTTCTCACTTTAGACCTCTTAGCAGTAGTTAACAGACACCAGTATCTTTTCTCATGCGATGGATCAGGTGTGGGAAGAAGTTGATACTCCTGATGGTGTGGCTATCTGCTGTACATGGACTTCTCCCCAGAGAATTGTTCTTCATGTTCTCAAGAAACTGGTAGCTCAGTTGCTTGTAATCTTGAGAAAAATTTTTCTCTAACTCTTGCTGTCTCATACGATGAAAACAACTTTTCCCGTTTATTTATTGAGTTCCTCTTTCTTTAGACTACTTTTCTTGAGCTCCATATTCATATTTGGCCAAGTGTATCCTTATTTTTCTCAGTTATCAAACTATGCCCTTTAATTCTGACCTTTGTCACTGACACTCTGTTATCACTTATCTGCTAGACTATATCTTGTGGAGTCTAGGACTGTTGCAATTATTTCTGATAGGCAGGCAGAGAGGGGAAAAAATGTGGCTGGTGTCCTTGAACCTCATACAATTTTATTTTCAGTCTGCAGCAGTTGTCACTAAAAGGTTAGAACATGTCTGGAAAAATGTACTTTTTTTTTTTTTTTTTTTTTTTTTAAAAAATGGTAGGTTATTCTTGATTTCTCAGTCCCTGGAGTATGTCTTCTGAAGATAGAGATACTCAGAAATATATTAACAATGCCAAGTGTGTTACACACACTGTAAGCTCTTACATATTTAATAAATGATCTCACGTTATGGGATAGGAAGAAAAAAGTGGTGAAATCTGGGTGTTCAGAGCAACAGATTTGATTCATGCTGGGAAGACCTTTGTGCCTTGTGATAGGTGACTGCTAAGAAAATGCCTAAATATTGCAAGTTGAAGTGATGATACAGGGAGATGTTCTTAGCATATATAAAGAAATGTCAAGAAGTATCTTTTGAACAAAACATTTAATTTTATACCATCCAGGAATGAACCAAATGAGCAATAAACCAACTGCTGAACTTGTGGCTGAAGGTCATACTAGTGACTTGAGATGGTAGTGAGCATTATTATGTACAATCTTATAAGAGTTGCATCTTACCTGGTGTGTGGCAGCAAAAGCTTATAGGTTTTCTAGTGAGGAGCAGAGAGATCAATGAGCGGTCATTTTATCTGTTTGTTCTGAGTCTCAGAATTACTGGCCTGTAAATTGGACTGCATAACTAGTCTATTATGATCCCTAGAATAATGGGGAGGTGAGTTCTTGCTTTATGGGTTTAGCTCTCATAATTTTTTTTTTCCTGAGGTATATACAGAAACAGCTGCTCTGATTAGGAATTGACATTGTCCTTTGTAGTTAGGATTGTCTTTTTGGGTTTTTTCTGCTTGGACCAAATATATTAAAAAAACTAATATTTTTTTTCCTCTGAGCTGGACATGTGAAAAGTGCACCTTTCCACAAACAATTCAGAAGGAAATATGGGTCACATGTTGGTCACTAAAATCACTAAAATTTTTTGGTAAATTTTATATCTAGTTTTTGATATTCTGTTCCTTTTTCTGATCTTAGATTTCTTGATTTTCCTATTGAACAGGGGTTTCATCTGTTCTACTCTGTGCTTGATTTGCAATACTCTGTATGTAGTTGTGCCTGTTCCTGCTTGAACTTACACAAATGCTGTGTTGAATATGTGGGATGCTATAGGCAATTGCTGTGCCTCCTCCTGTGCTACTCTGAATGCTGCATGGGACCAGAACTCGTGTGTAGAATCACAGACAAATTTGTGGAGCAAGGAGGCAGAAAACTGGTCAGGTGGAATGAGAGTGATAGATGAAGATGTAGCATAGAAGAATTACTCCTAGAGGTACACAGGAATGAAATGAATGGTGTGGTGTCCATATTTGCAGAAGACAGTGACTGTTTCATTCTAAGGTAATCTTGTTGTTAGAACATACTCTTAAAACTATGTCTTTTCTGCTCCCTCGCATGGTGGTCACCTTAGTAGATGGTGTTTCAATTACTCTACTGTATGAATGTCCAGTTCCTCATCCTGGAACTGCCATATGCTCAACTTTTGGAGGTCTATATTTGTGTTTGGAAGCCTCTACTTCCAGGCAGGAAAACATGTTTTAAGAAACAAACCCTCACACAATGAATTTGGAAAAAAACCATTGGGGTGAAAAAGACAGTCTGATGTGGTGGGGTTATGAAAGGCAACTTTACCTTAGAAGATGAGACTGCAAACTTTTAATAGACGGAAACACTGAAGTCTAAAAA